ACCGACAATGATGCTGACCGTTGCCTTGCAAAGATGCACGAAGGTGGACAAAACAACATGGAGTTGGGCTTCAAATTTACCGGCTCCACTATACATTCGGCCAAGACATCGGAATTTTTTTGAAGATGAGATGCCCAGCCCGACCTTGAAGAACTATGAGGGCACCGCCTATGCCGACACCGGGTTAGGAACCTCGTGCCCATTGCTGGGGGGCACCTCACCCACATGGAAGGAGACGATAGCCCTTGCCCCTTGAATTGCCGCAGGGTGGCCTCATTCAAATCATATTTGCACCACCCATCTCGGTCAGCGCGGCAGGGACTCATCTCTGACTACGAGGAGAAGCGGCGACTGAAGAAGAAGGGGGACTAGAGTGGTACAACTTTGTTGGCCTACCAAGTGCTTGCTACCTGTACTATCCCCTCCCTCGAGGGTGGGGCAAGGGGACATAAGAACGTTTGAGAGCATTCACTTGGCACGACAATTGAGGCGACTTCCGCATTCAGGGGACACAATATTTCGCTACCACTCAAATTTTAAGGTAGTCGTAATCCCATCTAGGGACATGGACCCTAGCTCACATCTTTTCTGGGCACTAGGAACCCTGATCGTCTTGGGTCGAGGTTTCGTCACGGGTATGGTTGTCCATCTGCTCGAATAAGATCATGATTTCAGGGAGGACTCGAAAACTTTGGTGACTGATGTGGCACCACGACCCTTTAGGGAGCTAATAGAAAGGGCTCTCGAGAGGGACGGGCTAGACACTAGGCATCCTCCCCTTAGACAAAATGAGTCCCATGTTGTTGGTGTAAATCCTAGCAGACCCTTTGGTAGCGTATCACGACTAGCCGGAAAGCCCGGCGGGGAAGCAAGAGACTGGTTTACCCAAGTTGAGGCGCTCACGGTGAAGGTAAAACCCTACTCCTGCTCTTATGTATTGATTGGAAGGGGTACAAATTACAGAGGGGATCGTTATGATCGTAGGCATAGCAAAGGGTGAAGATTGTGTCCATCATCTAGCTTGGACCCCGACTTATAAACGATGTCGGGGATCAAGGGTTTATAGGATCTTAGTCAATTATGGCGGTTGGAGGAGTCCAACATCGATCCGGCCTCCTTGTCTTGCATGGAAAGGATGTCGGTTTCCTTCTTCTGAATGGCCAAAGTTCGGGCCGGGTTCTGGGGCGTACGCCATCCTGGGGGTCATGAGTTAGCCTGATGGGTCGTCTTCCGGTACCAGGAGGCACCCCTAGGCCGTGGCACCATCACACGTGGCCACTTAGAATTTGAGTACTGGTGAGGGGCTTGTCAATGAGTAAGGTTACCCACTCAAAAGGAACTGATATGACCAACCCTGACTGACACATCACCATGTGTGTCTAAGGGCTCCCGTCTTGCACCATGCAGTGCCCGAGTAGACACTCATGAGATGAGTGGCCGGGTGTGGGATTTCAGGGATTATGTGGTTAAGGGAGATATGTTCCTCTTAACTGTAAGATTGTCTAACTGTATCCGATCTAACCAGAGAGTATCCCTAACGAACCGCCTTTGGCCTCATATAAGAGGAGGCCCTAGAGGATAGAAGCAGGGGGTCTAGCTCAAAGATAATAAACTTGAAAATATACTCCTAGTAATCGTCACGATCATCAATAAAAAGACGTAGGATTTTTACCGATCCTAGGGCCTGAACCTCGGTAAAATCACCGTGTATGTTCATCCGCTAGCTAGTTCCCTTCAGGCACCACCCTCCCCCTCCTTCAATCGAGTTATAAAAGATTGATCCACCATTATTCATCGACACTAAGGGAAATAGATAATATCTTTTTTGGATTTTCTTGACCGTTGTGACAATAAAGGGTCACTGTAAAATGATGACTGACATCAAGTCGCACCCATTTGTCTGGATAAGAACAACTTAAAATTCCACGAGATAGTACAAACTCCTAGTGTCATCAAACCATTAGTAGCCACCACATTAGTACTTTGAATTTTATGCAACTTCTTTCTATATGACAATTGAAGCACTCGTCAGATAAACACTTCTGCGCTGAGCAGTTGCCACTTTATCAGTACATAAAAGACCAAAAGAAACCATGCACTTCATGTCTTCAAATACGCCAAGCCCCATATTTAGTGCCTTCTTTTGATCAGACAAAATAAACAACACTTGCATTGCATAGTGGAAAAGCTAGCAGACAGAATCCTTTTAACTGAAGAGATTCAGTATCAGCAATCTTTGGAACAGAATCCTGTTCGTGTTAGCTTTCTTTTGATGACCACCATTAGTGGTGGTGGTTTTGCATAACGCAAGTTGCGTGCATCTTATCTGCTTTTGGTTTCTATAGAACTCCTGCTAGGTCACACTAGGTTAAGGTCTAATGAAGTGCGATCTTCATTGGAAACTACATATATATTTGTGCAGTTCAACTAATTATCAATGGTCCAGATGTACTTTTAGGGCATCCATAAATAATGCACAATGGAATAAGGCTCAAATTTTGACTTGTGTACTTTGGCGGTAATTATTTTGTTTCTTCCTGTCATTCTAGCAAAATATATATGATTTAGAATGAAAGAACGGTGCTCAGTTGCTGCATTTGAAAACTATAGAGCAGTTGTCTTCTCCTCAAGGATTGAATTGGATGTATTGTAGTTAATTAGCTACTTGTGAATCCCCGCACAAACAATTAGCAACTTGAGAATTGTTAAAGCGGGGAACACTAACACTGAGAATCAGAGTTAACAACAACTGTGCGCATTTTATGGAACTCATATTCAATGGGTACACTCGGAGATCCTCGACTTAATTAGAGACCCATACAAAATAGTGGAAGCTGAGTGATATTATTCACAATTCTATCAACTTGAACACATGTTTTGCATATATATGCAAGTCGAAGGAACATCTCTCTCTTCAGTAAATGGAAATTTGATTCGTGGGAATGTTCAGAAGAAACATCTAATGCAAGTATTTCCTGATAAAACAACATGGTAGTAGGATTATTTTCTGGATTTGGAGTGTGGCTCCACGACGAGAAAATTGGTCAACCCAAAACCACGGCTCGTCCTTTTGTTGATAAATTTCCTGCAAATATCAGTGTAAATACTCCATCCATTTCCCAGTATGATTGAATTTCTGTCTTAATTTTGAAAGTCACTTTCCACTGGAGTAATTTTAATAGTTAGCCACACACAAGAGAAAACCAAGAGTGTGTTGTCCACACCCTTAAAAATATTCCAAGGACCTATCCCTAACACGTTGTGTCAAGCATCAAGTGCCTTGTACTTAATAAAAGAACCAAATGGGCTACTAGTTAAATCCCATTTGATCAGCAAAACAAGAGAAGTTCTACCATACTGTAAAAAGAAAATACTGATTAATCCAGCCACTTGCACCAGTTAGTTCAACCATGCAGTCAGCAGCCATAAAAGAAACACAGCACAAACTCTTATTGGAACTCCAACTCTGCTCAGCTCTTAGTGAAACCATCTTTCCCCATGCTGCACTGAAAAATCTTTTTAACAGTGGTGCTGCCCTGTCCTGCCCTAATGATGAGTGGCCACCACTCATTTTTCCCCCTGCCTGACATCACCATGCACCACCTTATCCTCTCCCTGTTTATTTAGCTTTCAGCACCCCTCCTCTAGCCTAGCCATCTTGTCCTTTGCAACCAGTATTTTTTTTCATTCTTTGGCACTAGAAAAGATGATTTGCCAATGCAGTGCAGAACACACTCAGATTCTAGCAAGAGCAAGAGGTTGGGCTCGGAGTTCAGACAGCTTTTACCGCTTGTTCCATAACCGCAGCAGTAGTTATCTTCAGGTGCTCTCTCAGGTCCCAACTCAGCTGCTGCAAAAGGTTTGATGAGGGCCTCTAGTGCTGCACCTGTGCCTTCACAGTGCCCTCTTGTAGTACATTCGAAAACTTAGGCATCTCTGCTGCTTTTGGATGGATGACACAACACAAAGTTGAATCCCCTTAGAGCTTTAGTGAGCTGTGCGCTTGCTAGGCACATCTTTTTCCATGTCACAAGAGGTCTTTACTTGCAGTTTTCTGTTTTCGCAAAAAAAAAAGAGTTCTTTAGTTGCAGATTTCTGTTTTCGCAGCGCCAAAAAAAGAGTTCTTTAGCTGCAGGTGGTTTCTTTATTGGTGCGGTGTGGTCACATCGCCATTTGGCAAAGAAGCCAAGGAAACATAGCTATCTCCTGCCTGTTTCTTATCAGGCCGATGCTGTCCGCATGACTGTGATGCATCAGCTAACGTCCGAACAGCCTTGCCAATTCTGCGTGTGCATTTTCCATGAAACCAACGGGTGGAGGTAACGACTGCTTCCTGCATCATGCACACAGTAATGGCAATGGACGTTTGGAACAAGAATATTCAGGTCAACAGCTCAGGATCCCCCTTTCAGGATGCTCCAAATTTGTCGACAGAGTTTTGCCCGGTCCGCCTGTTGCCACAAGGGAGACAGAGATACAGCTCCCCTTCTCTCCCTTGGATTCCTCACCTCATTCGCCTTCCGGGAAAATAAAATAAAAGAGTGGACCTGCGACCTAGTAGTAGTATTCAGGACGTGAACTACACAGAAATATAGACATAAACAACCCAGCAGACCATTTTTTCTGTATCATCGAGAAATAGTCGTACCCAGCTGAGCAAAATATATACAAAGATGCGCGAGCTGTTGATATCGACGCGCATTCTGATCGGGCATGACGACGTTTCTTCAGTACGGCACACGACGCCATCGACAGCGAACGATCTGTCCGTCCCATGATTTGAATTTCAATGCAAAGAGTGATACAAAGAATATACTCGCATAAAATGACTCGCAATAGGTTGTACATACATGCATATCGATGAGCTTTGATTTTCCACACGAGCTAGATCAGTTTGCGTACAATCAGCTGCAGGGGCAGGCAAACCTAGAGCTCCCCTTGAGTACAGCGACAGGCAGTGGCAGGAGAGTGCTATGGACAAACGGTCGTTCCAGGAGAGCCTAGAAGAACTTGTTGAACTGGCCGCTCAGGGACCCCTTCACGTTTGAGTACAGCCCGTAGAGCGAGTACTGCTGCAGGTTCGACACCTCGTACCACGAGTTGAGGACCGACTCGTGCTTGTCCGTGCCCGAGAAGGCCAGCTGGATGCCGATGCTGCAGTCCATGGATCCCTGGTTATTGCTCTTGCATATGTTTGTTCTGATGGCGCAGGTTTGCTTGCCCAGGCAGATGAAGTTTGGCTTCCCTGTGCAGGCACCGCACCCATCCTTTTTCCAGTGCAGGTTCTGAAGCTTGCCTTTGTTGAATTCAAGAACCTAGATATAAATCAACAACATAGAGCAGCAACATTCAGAATTCGCTTGGTTAAAAGTTTACGGATGATGGCAACAACGGTACATCTCTGTGGTCCCACTCCCATACCAGGGTGAAGCTGGACACTGTAACTGAGGAATTGGAGACAAAGACTGGTTGAGATCTGGCTGCATACTTCCTACCAGCAAATGCTACCATGTACCCACCAGCTGAGGCCTACAAAATGCAAAGACCTTTGGTCATACAAATTTGTATACACACGACAAAAATGACTGAACATTATCTAGTGAGAACTAGTCAGCCATGACACAATATAAATTCAGGTTATTACACAGGTAAAAAAGAGCAGAATTTCTCAGAGTTATACCGCCCTATTGTAAGTTGGGACAAACTATACTTCTTCATCTATTGTAGCCGGAGACGATCAAGTCTCAACCAATACCAACTACCATGGAGTTTTCAGAATTAGGGGGATGGGAATAGTTGAGATGGAAACTAAACAACGAATGTGCTAGTCCTGAAAGTTCAGTATCCACAGATGGTGAAACAGTCATGAAAAGAATACTATATGATTTGAGAGGATAATGGGCTACCATATTCCATAGCTGCTGAAGAGGTGGCTGATGGAGTGCGATACTTTTATGGACAGTGAATTAACAAAATGCTACTACAGGTTCCACCATGGTTTATCGAAACACACAAGCTCCATTTTCAGTTGATAGGGTTAGAGGTACAAATATCACCTGGCCAAGTTCTTGTCACTAAAAAAGACAGCAGTAATGCCCAAACAAAGAAAACACAGTAATCATAAATTAATAAGAACTGGCCAAATTGCATCATCCAGAAACCTTTGGCAATTTGACACTTGACACCCTCCGTCCCTTCCCTCGACAAGTCGACTTTCACACTGCTGGAAACCAGCAAGTAATACTGGCACATGTCTGGTTCACGACCAAATTTAACCATACCAAACTATCACAGCAACCATACTGGCCACATAGCAACATGTTAGCACCAAGCCAGCCAGGCCCCTTGCTCTTTGATATACCTAGTTATCTGTCGGTATAACTTGTATAAAATAGCAAACCTTTTTCTTTGTTTGAGTTCAGGAGGCAGGAAGTTCAGAGGGGATATTCAACACAATATAAATGATGGTTCGTTTCTAGCATTCTAAATGGATGGCTGGACAATGAATCACAAAATAATCCTTCAAAACTCTCATAATGCTGTCTCCTTAAGGCAATAACCATGCTGTCTCTAAAATGTAAATGCAGTCAGATATCAAAAAAGAATTCATTAGTGAAGTGTGGTGTCGCTGAAGTTCACAACAATGAGATTTAGGTTTCATATCACAGACGCACATGTTTTTGTGTTCACCAATGGTATCAATTACCATGGCAATGTATTCGGTGAGTGTTTGTTTTTCTGTTTAAGCAACGATTCAACATGAAAAATTTCCCTTTTATAGGAGGCATTCCTTCATTTGCCAAACATCTTCTTGGAGTTTCAAGTTCAAATTCAGGTTGCGTTGGGAGAGAATAATTTGCTGGTGAAAGTGAATTCATCCATTCATATTCTTTTTCATGTTATACTAGCTTGTAAGATGACAGAGGTTTCTCATTTCTTTTCTTTCAACACAAATTGTATTTGAAGTTGAAATTTCAGAGATGCTTGATGAAATAAGAATTACCGCTTCAAATGTTAGAACCTTTCATGAATTCGCCTTGAGCCGACATCATTTGCATTTTCTTTACCACGACTGGGCTTTCACCATATATGCTCCCATATAAGGCTACTATTCCAGCACCAAAAAAGAACACACACAGTGCTAACCCTACCATTGTTCATAGAGGAAAACTGTGGGGTTATGAAAACTTCCCTCACGCGACAACTATTTTCCAATCCCCCAACATGCTGACATATTGTGAAGGCATGGGTCCATGTTAGCTTCAATCTTTCCCTTTGTCACAATGCAGAGTTAGGAAGACGATCTTGCGTACAGGCAAACTAGCCGAGCAGCATCGTCACCCTATGGCTGTGACTAGATCAATAAATTGCGCAGAAAGCCCACGGATCATACCAACCAACGCTAATTCCATCCAGCAAAGGCCAAAACAGATGGTGCTGGCGCATCACAGCAGCATTGGCAACAACCCCAACCGACCCTCACCTACTCCCGCATTTCCACAAGCACTTGGAGCGCAGGGAGGATCTAGCGAATCCAAGTTACCCCGAGCAAATGTAGAGAAACCGAAGCATCGAGGACGGAACGGAGAAGGAGGGGAGATCGCGCTTACGGGGCTGAAGCCGGTGGTGGTGTTGACGGTGAGGAGGGAGATCTCGTCGACCTTGGGGCGGAAGAGGGAGAGCTGGGAGAGCTGGGTGAGGCGGCGGTCGCAGGGGGAGAGCTGGGTGGAGCCGGAGTAGAAGGCGCCGCTGGCGGCGAAGGCGAGGCCGAAGGTGAAGCCGTCCCCGCGCTGGATCTTGGTGTCGGTGCAGGGGTCGTAGACGCGGTTGGTGTCCCCCGCGGCGGCCAGGGAGGCGGCGAAGGCGAGCGCCAGAGCCAGCAGCAGCGGCGCGGAAGCGGCGGCCATGGCGGCGAGATTCGTGGCAAGGGAGCCTCGGAGGCGGAGAGGGGCGGCACAGCTTACCGACTTTCAAACTCGGTTTTTTTGGAAGGGGAAAGCTGGCGAGAGCGGAGTTGAGGAAGGAGGAGAAGCTCGTGTCGTGGGTGACAGCGATGGAAGTGGGTGCGGGGAATAGTGTTTTTTTAGGGGTTGGGAATAGTTTTTTTTAGGGTTTTTTTAGACAATCAGCAAAGCTTTATTGATCCGTCACATAATTTACACGGACGAAATGAAGATCCAGGGGTGGCCCAACCAAACATGACGACCAAGCCTTAGTTTTAGTTAATGCTTTGCTAGATTGTGAGCTTCGACATTTCAAGTTCTTAAATTTATGAACAAAATTACACGATGTAAAACTAGTAAAGTACTCTAGAATTTCATGTATCATAGCCCCATAACCTGCCCCGGTTCTCCTCTTGATATCATCTAGGTATCACCACTGAGCAATATGAGGCCACCTGTATGAGGAGAAGAAAAGTTCTTTTTAGGTGGGGATGAAAACCTGGCCACATGGGCTGGCCTGGCTGTAAAAGGGCCGGGCACGGCATGGGAATCGGCCCAGCATGGCAGTTATAAAGGCCGGCCTGGCCCGGCATGGCTCCGGGTTGGCCCGTGTTACTTTTCAGCCTTTTGTTCCTTTTGTTTTAAAGTACTTAGAAAAAACTAAAAAAATAAGTTTTTTTTTTAAATAAGAGAAGATGTAGAACAAACCTAAAATTTAAGAAAAAATTTTGAAAACAATAAGAGAAAAAAGTTGGAAAACTTAAAATTTAAGGAAAAAGAAAAAAATTGAAAACAATAAGAGAAAAAAGTGTTGGACGGGCCGCATCGGACCGTGTCATACCGGCTTGCAATAAAAAAGGGACGTGCCATGGCCGACGACATTAAGACTTCGCTTTCGAGATCGGCCTTGTTTCGTGGTGGGTCGAAGGCCGGGTAAGGCCCTTTTTAATCGTGTGCCGTGTCGGGCTGAACTTTTGCATGGGCTTTGGAATTTTTGGCATGGGCAACATGACATGAGCCGCATATATAAAGCCTGGTGCATGTCAGAAAAAGGAAGCATACAAATTACAAATCACCCCTAAGATCCATCCCAATGGAGTCATATCCCCTGAACTCAATTTTGATATAATTTCAAATTCATAAAATCGTATAAATCATCCCCTTGAGTGGTTTTGAAGATGACATGTCAAATATTAAACGGTTTTGACCGAGGTTTAGGACATTGACTCACTATCTCTTTTCCCCAAGTAGGTGTCCAGTTTCGTGCCACCGCCCGTGATCAGTCGTCTCCTCGGATCCCAATCCATGTCCAGGTGCTCCGTCGCCCCTCCTTCTATATCCATGACAAAGGAATTGACAAGGGACACGAGGAATCGGCACCTACAACTCCTCCTTCCCCGCCTCTGGCAGAGCTCAAAGCGTTGTCGCGACGCAGCCTCCTCCTTCGACAATCCACGCTTCTCCTACGCTCTCTCAACTGAGATGAACCGGTGAACGGCGGCAAGGGAGGTCATGGCTTGCGGCCACCTCGCCCCATACGACACGGCGCTCAAATCCGGCATGCACTCGAGAAGGAAGGATGACATCTGCTTATGAGAGTACAGTTACTCGTTGCACTCCTCGCGTGCATTCCTCGCGTGTCCGTTGGCCCACATATGTGGCAGGGGAGCTCCTACTATGCGGCTGACCTAGTGATGTGTGTCAATGCGACCATGGTCGCGCTGGTACATGTTTTCATTGCCACTGTATTGTATACGCCCGCCATTGCGCTGCCTACCCTTAAGCCTACACCGCCCGAGCCTTCATCTTGCTTGACGGTCTTACCTCGGACACCGTTGGCTGGTGGAGTGAGGTTGTGGGAACGATGATGGCGCTAGCCTCCCCCCGCGCGCAAAAAAGAGTGGTCAAAACCACATAAAATTTGGCACTTTAGCTTCTAAACGACTCGAGGGTATGATTTATATGGTTTCATATATTTGAGAGTACTAAATTTAAGTTAAAGGGGGGCATGGCTTCATCGCGGTGGATGTTGGTGGTGATTTGTGATTTCTATACTTCTTTCCATGTTAGAAAATTTCTTCATTCAATTAAAACTAAGGAAGGCCGTGAGAAGTGGCGCTAAAGAAACTGTAACAAAACTGGTATGCGTTTCTAACGGCAGATAATAACTTGTCTCGCGGGAGGATGCCATGAGAAGTGGCGCTACTAATTTACTGGCCATCTAGGCCTCTAGAAATTACGTTACATCCTAAGAATCACACACCAAGTAAAAAAGTTCACGATGAAAAAGAGCAACCAATTAACATAAGCTCCATCTCCAGGTCAACGTCCACGCCTGCACCATCGGATCCCCCGTCCCGCAGCCTGGCAGCCGGAGACGACAGCTCGCCGCCCGCCGGCATCTCCGTGAGCAGCTGCGTGACCATGCGGCGGAGGCTGACGGACCTCGCCGGGCGACGGAAGCTGCTGAGGCTCCTGGCGCCGGAGAAGACGTCGGAGGACTGGGACAGGATGAGGTACACCAGCGCCTGCACCAGGACGAACACCGCGAACTTGAACAGCGCCTCGCTGCAGCTGGCCAGGTCAAGATCCATGGCCGACCTCATCCTTTCTACGACGAACCGGATCGGGGAGCCTGCAGATGAGTGAGTGGAGGTCGTCGGCTGAAGGGTTCTCGAGACGAGCTTCGATCTGGAGTAACAGAGTAAGTACTAACTGCTTTGGAGTGATGAGTGAGGGAGGGCGTGGCTAGCTATTTAAAGATGGTGCCCGGACCCTTTGACTTTGTCGAGGGGTTAAGCGATCCATGGTGTAGATCCAGCCGGTGCATGCATTGTGTTGTTACATTGGTTGAGATTGAAATGGTCTTCTGCTTCTGCGTGAATGAACTAAGTTTAGGGTTCCTATCGGTTGGCTTCTTGGTCAACTCTTCGGTTTCCCGCGTCGGCAGACCAGGACTGCGGATGGTTTGGGCTGTTTTTTGGTCGAGCAGAATCGGCCAGTAGTATTATTATACAACTACACGCGTAGGCGCGCCTTATGTTTCTCTACGGGGTGGGTTGTGTGTTTTGTTTTTTGAGCTTCACGCGGCCGATATGCAAGAAATGTTCTCAGGAAACAAATCGCTGAAGTTTCCTAGAAAGAAGTATTGTGACAGGAAAGAATGCAGCACGAAGCAAGAAAAGTATTTATAAATGCACGACATCATGTCCAGCAACATGTAGAGTATCCTCGTCAGTAAAAATGTAGACATTACTGCTAAATTACTTACATTTCTGACAAAATTTATACTCCCTCCATTCTACAATGTAGTGTGTCCGTGCTTCCCGAAATTCAAGTTTGACCGTAAATTTAATCAACGATACCGACTGCCGCGGGAGCAAAAGTTATACAACTGAATTCGTATTTTCGATATGAACTCAGTGATATAATTTTTACTCTTGCCGCAGTCGGTCTTGTTGGTTAAATTTGCGGTCAAACTTGAATCTTGGAAAACGCAGACGCACTAAATTATGGAATGAAGGGGTGGCTATTACTGCTACTTAAAGCAAGGCATTATGTACTCCCTCCGTTTGAAAATACTTATCATCAACATGAACAAAAAGAGATGTATCGATACATCCCTTTTTGTCTGTTTTAATGACAAGTATTTTCGAACAGAGAAAGTAGCATCCAGGAGCTTGGATAATTCAAAAAGAGATGTCCGTTTTCATTCAGAGAGCCCTAGCCCCTATTTTTTATATATAAGAGGCCTATAGCATGGCGTTAAATTAATGATGTCGTTACGGGCAAGGACATGAAGTCCAAACATTGATACAACACACGCTAAAGCGAAAATAAAAACTCCGTCAAGATACATGGATGTTTAGGAGCAGCAACACAGCTCAAACTGGTAAGTAAACGAGACACAGGAGCCCACAGACATGCCCAAAGCGCCAATGCTGTGAATGGAGCCGGCTCGAAAGGAGCCGGCCCGAAGCCCCAGCCCGTATTAGAGGAAGAGGAGAGAAATTCCACCACAGTGCCTCCAAGGAGTGAAGAACAACGCAAGAGGCGTTGCCATCATTGGCCCCGATATGACTCGGGACAAGGCTTCCGCCGAAACTCATCGATCCCCACCGAGATAGAGGTCGGCATATCTAGAGCAACCGGGGATACGTAGACCATACGAGCAATTGCTGCAGCGCCATGCTTCTTCGTCATCGACCACCAAGCACAACCCTGTGATGACCCTCGACGAAACCTCATACTGCAAGAGAGAGGTCCACGAATCGCCGCGACTGGATCCAAACAAAAATCGTTGAATCAGCTCATCCCTGTTACCACGACAGGCGTTAACGGATGCACTCGACTTGTGGCCTCTCCACTACTAGAATCAGCTTCTTTGTCGTCTGCCATGGCAGACGGCAAAGGCATAGATCCGCAGACGGCAAACATGTTTGCCGTCTGCCAGTGGACGGCAAACTGTCCGGCTGAACACGTGCCGGCAAAGGCCTTTTTTGTCGTCCGCTTCCTGAAAACGGACGGCAAAGGATTGTGCCGTGCGTCATCCGAGGCCAGCAGACGGCAAAGACAGCGGACGACGGTGCGGTGGCGTGAGAGCCGTTAGGGGGTTAACGACACTCTTTGCAGTCTGCTGACAAACGGCACTCAGCTAGGCAACACTGGAAAGCTGCCACGTGTCCAGCTATGCCGTCCGCCAGCCGACGACAAAGAGGTTTGAATCTTTGCCGTCTGTTGGCAAACGACATAGCTGGTCACTTTGTCGTCTGCCAGCAGATGGCAAAATGACCAAATAGGCAGCCAGTGTTCCCAATTTACACAGGTGACTACCACGTGTCCTCTTTGTCGTCTGCTAGCAGACGGCAAAACTCTTTGCCGTCTGCTAGCAAACGGCAAAGAGGCTATATATCCCCTGTTTTGCCGTTTGCTAGCAGACGACAAAGAGGCTATATATCCCCTGTTTTTATTTAAATCCAATTAATTAGACATGGTTTCAAACACAGATATACATGCATACATATCCAACAGCATGTCCAACAACATATTTCATCAAATCCAATAACATAGTTCAACAAAGTCCAACATATCCATATATACATAACCAGAAACAAGTTTCCAACAACATATCCATATAGACATACATATCCAAACAAGTTTTCATAAACAACAAGGAAGCATCAGAAGAATAGTACACTCCATGAATCCAAGCTTCCTCAACTAAGGTAGGTAAAAATGTCATTTTATTGCTAAGCTAGGTAAAAATGCTAAGTGTAGGTCATTTTAGAGCTAAGCTAGGTAAATAGGTCATTTTGGAGCTTAGTAAGGTTATTATGTCATTTTCGAGAAAAATAAGCTAAGTCTATATCATTTTGGAGGTAATAAAGATTATCATGACATTTTTGACCTAAGTATGTTAAGTATGTCATAAATGAACTGAATAAGCTAAGTATAGCTCATTTTTTTATCTAACTTAGGTAATTATGCCATTTAAGAGGAAAATAAGCTAAGTATCCATGTGTAAAGCAAAACACTAGAGAAAACTTACCCTCATCACAACAAATGTGAGGAAGATCGCAACTAAGGTAACAATTGATCCAACGGCATAATGATACTGATGGGGAACGCAGTAATTTCAAAAAAATTCCTACGCACACGCAAGATCATGGTGATGCATAGCAACGAGAGGGGAGAGTGTTGTCTACGTACCCACGCAGACCGACTGCGGAAGCGTTGACGCAACGTAGAGGAAGTAGTCGTACGTCTTCCCGATCCGACCGATCCAAGCACCGTTACTCCGGCACCTCCGAGTTCTTAGCACACGTACAACTCGATGACGATCCCCGGGCTCCGATCCAGCAAAGCGTCGGGGAGGAGTTCCGTCAGCACGACGGCGTGGTGACGATCTTGATGTTCTACCGTCGCAGGGCTTCGCCTAAGCACCGCTACAATATGATCGAGGTGGAATATGGTGGCAGGGGGCACCGCACACGGCTAAGGAACGATCTTAAGGATCAACTTGTGTGTTCTAGGGTGCCCCCTGCCTCCGTATATAAAGGAGCCAAGGGGGAGGGGCGGCCGGCCAAGGAGGGCGCGCCAAGGGAGTCCTACTCCCTCTGGGAGTAGGATTCCCCCCCCCCCCCAATCCTAGTTGGAATAGGATTCCTCGAGGGGGGAAAGAGAGAGAGGGGGCCGGCCACCTCTCCTTGTCCTAATAGGACTAGGGGAGGGGGGAGGCGCGCAGCCCACCTTGGGCTGCCCCTTTCTCCTTTCCACTAAAGCCCACTAAGGCCCATATAGCTCCCGGGGGGTTCCGGTAACCTCCCGGTACTCCGGTAAAATCCCGATTTCACCCGGAACACTTCCGATATCCAAACATAGGCTTCCAATATATCAATCTTTATGTCTCGACCATTTCGAGACTCCTCGTCATGTCCATGATCATATCCGGGACTCCAAACAATCTTCGGTACATCAAAATGCATAAACTCATAATAACTGTCATCGTAACGTTAAGCGTGCGGACCCTACGGTTCGAGAACAATGTAGACATGACCGAGACACGTTTCCAGTCAATAACCAATAGCGGGACCTGGATGCCCATATTGGCTCCTACATATTCTACGAAGATCTTTATCGGTCAGACCGCATAACAACATATGTTGTTCCCTTTGTCATCGGTATGTTACTTGCCCGAGATTCGATCGTCGGTATCCAATACCTAGTTCAATCTTGTTACTGGCAAGTCTCTTTACTCATTCCGTAATACATCATCCCGCAACTAACTCATTAGTTGTAATGCTTGCAAGGCTTATGTGATGCGCATTACCGAGAGGGCCCAGAGATACCTCTCCGACAGTCGGAGTGACAAATCCTCTTCTCGAAATATGCCAACCCAACATCTACCATTGGAGACACCTGTAGAGCTCCTTTATAATCACCTAGTTACGTTGTGACGTTTGGTAGCACACAAAGTGTTCTTCCGGCAAACGGGAGTTGCATAATCTCATAGTCATAGGAACATGTATAAGTCATGAAGAAAGCAATAGCAACATACTAAACGATCGGGTGCTAAGCTAATGGAATGGGTCATGTCAATCAGATCATTCAACTAATGATGTGACCTCGTTAATCAAATAACAACACTTTGTTCATGGTTAGGAAACATAACCATCTTTGATTAACGAGCTAGTCAAGTAGAGGCATACTAGTGACACTAAGTTTGTCTATGTATTCACACATGTATTATGTTTCCGGTTAATACAATTCTAGCATGAATAATAAACATTTATCATGATATAAGGAAATAAATAATAACTTTATTATTGCCTCTAGGGCATATTTCCTTCAGTCTCCCACTTGCACTAGAGTCAATAATCTAGATTACACTGTAATGATTCTAACACCCATGGAGCCTTGGTGCTGATCATGTTTTGCTCGTGGAAGAGGCTTAGTTAACGGGTCTGCAACATTCAGATCCGTATGTATCTTGCAAATCTCTATGTCTCCCACCTGGACTAGATCCCGGATGGAATTGAAGCGTCTCTTGATGTGCTTAGTCCTCTTGTGAAATCTGGATTCCTTTGCCAAGGCAATTTGTGACGCC